TGACATAATGTAATGAAATACAACTTGACAAAACTTGCATGCAAACTAGTGGGTTACTTGTGTGATTTGGAACACAGAAGCAAAGTCAAGGCATCACATAACACAAATGACAAATCATGTATGAATCACTCCCTGATTCTTACGTGAAACGTTAGTTAGTATGCCCAACATACTAAATCTCGTGAGTGACCAAGCAAAATCACACGTGATTCTACAATCCTTAAAGAATTTAGCTTTTATGAACCATAACTTGCAAGCTTGAATATATTTAGATGAGTCTTAATATATATAAATGAGACTTATGAGCTAAAGATGATGCATTCATTTTAATGATTATGAAATGTGATTAAGCTCTCAAAGCTTTTACATTGAATCTAAGAGAATTTAAATGACTTATCCTAACATTCTTCATCTTCATCTTCTCTTAATTCTTCATGCTCTTGAGGTTTTGTCTTCATCCATGATTCTTTATATATTTGCACACATAACAAATACCTTTTCTCTTGGTTTTATAATCATCAAAACACATAATCCAACAACATAGACATCTCATCCAAAAACTAGAACCAAAAACTCATTTTAATCATTTTAGAAGTGCAGTTTGAGTTCTCTTAGCTAGTTAGCCTCCAATGACCTAAGGAGCTACGATCGAGTTTGATTTCACCAAGGTAAGTCCTCTAGGACCAATCTACACCTTCTACATCTCTGTTCGATAGATATAATGTCTATGATTTTACCCTAGGCTTGGATCTCAAGTTTGAATCCTTATAGTTTATCCATTTGAGTCTACAAAAAAGAAGAGTTCTAACTAGCTTAATTATTTATATAAAGCCTATCTGTACTGCAAGTTCATCTAAGAAACTGCCATAATCCAAGTATAATAGAACTCAAGAGTGAGATATTGAACCTTTAATCTCTTAAAGGTTTGAGGTAACTGGGAATTTAAATTTATATATATTATAGTATGTAACACTTCCTAAGAGATTGTTTATGCTCTCTTACTTATTAATATACATGTTACATTTGAGATATAAAATTTGATTCTAAGTAATGATTTGTGTACTGTGTGAGTCCATGATCATATTCTGAGTATATAAAATATGATTAATTGTTACTAGAAGTGCCTGATTGTGTGATATGCTTATATAAGAAGTTTGGAATTATTAAATAATGAAATTGCTCTATGATAATATGAACTTTATATGAAATCCTAATCTAAGATAGATATGCATATGGGTCCCTGATTATTTGAATACATGCATAAATGTAGGAGTTTACCTATAGAGGAATTGTAAACATTATGAAAAATCTATGGTTTGCCTTACTGAGGTTACCCCTCAGTAGTAATTCATATAAATGTGTGTGTGTGCACTCACGCGCACATGCGCGCTTAGTTTTACTGCTTGAATTGGAAGTGTTGGTTAGTCACTTGCTCAGGTTCACTACTTAGATTAGTAGTGATGGTCAAGCATATCATGACACTCTGAAGTTTAAGTAAGGGAAACCATGGTCTAAACTAGAGTGAGGAAGCCTTTGACTAGGCAACCCCTTTTAATTTGAAGAGCAGAACTGGCCTAGTAATGTGGACTAGAGCTATAATGAGTTGCCTATGAGTTCAGTCAGAGGTGATAAGGAGGTGATAAGGGGGATTTAAGATGTATCATCTGATATATATTTTTGGTGAATCAACATGGAAGTAAATGATTGATATAAGCTCTGAAATATACCTTGTATGTAGTTTAAGATGAATGTGTAGATCGTATGAATTATGTATTACCATTGTTTTAGATGTTAATTTAAATATCCTGGTTATTAAGATTTTGTGTGGAATCTCACCCCCATTATTTTACCATTTTTAGGAGAAGGAATGGGCAAGGAAGGGGGCGAGACCACAAGAACAAGACACTAGAGCTCCTAAGCTTTTTGTGAAATTTCTATAATGCATTTGAGTTAGGATTTTTCCAACTATAGGGACATGTAGTTCATATTTAATTTATGGTAATTACTTGATATTATGGCCTGAATTGATTTCAAGGGCCTTAACTTATCTTTGAATGCTATGAGACTTTAATTATTTAAAAACATGCTTGGGAATTCTAGTATGATTTATATGGTTTAATGTAATGATTCTTATATAAAAACCTTTGATATAAATTATGTTTTATCTGAAATTATTGGGATTGGTTGAAACTGAAGGCTGTGAGACAAGTTCCTACCTGGGCAAGTGGAGCATAGGCCTAGGCGAGTGGAGCATAGGCCTAGGCGAGTGGAGCACATCACCTAGGCCTAGGCGAGTAAGTGGCTTCTCTTTAAGGCGAGTAAATGCTTTTCGAGGTGAGTGAGGTAAGCCCTTGCTGAGGCAAGTTGAGTTACAGGGTGGGGGTGAGTACGCAAGCCAAGGTGAGTGGTTCTGCAAGCCAGGCGAGTAAGTAGGGACTAAGATAGGGAAACCTTATATAGATATGATCTATGTATGTTGAATGCTTTTGAATGGCTGCTAAATTTGTGTGAAATCTAATTATCTTAATTTAAGATATGTGCACCCTTAAAGCTAGTCTAATCTCCTTAAAAGATTGATGTATGTTGTAAATGGGGGTTGTGATTGGGGTCATTACAGTAATTATGTTTTCTATTAGATTTATATTTTACATTTATACATATTTTATTGACTTGAAATTATTTTGCAGATTACCCCCTCCAATCAAGTGGTTATCCCTAGTTGTAGTCATAATAGAATTGGATGGAATGATATATTTTGATGGTGTATGGTAAGTCCTTTAAGGAAGCAATCTTTTGAATGGATCCAGCAGTTATTTAGAAAGGCGAAAGTAGATGTTAGGATTGAGAAGGAGGACTTGATGCAGATGTTGAATGATGATTAACTCACCTTAATGCACATGTAATCATGGATAATGTAAGTATATTGTCTTAAATTAGTATAAATAAAGAATTCGGCAAACTTACACTCAATGTTGTAGGTATATGCATCATGTACTAGTGTCATTAGGAAAAAATGACAAGTTTTGATTGCTTTGTCCGATTCACACCCAAGAAGTTGGGAATACTCCTAAGCTAAGACATGCATATACATATATATCAAAGGTTTACTAAAAGGAGGGAGTGCTACATTATACCATATATCCAAAGACTTTTCTGTCTTTAGCTCCTATTAATGTTTTTTTTTTTTGGTAGTGGCTACTAGCAATTGGCACTTCCTATTGTGAAGAGAAACATTGTCCTCTTTTTTTGCCCCCTTTACCATAAAGTGGGGAAGGATTTGAAGAAGACGGTGAACCACTAAGTATTCCCTCATTGTAAAGCATTATTTGTGATATTTGATAAATGATTATTAACTTTGTAATTTTCATGATAAGGCTATGAGAATGTACCAGCATGTCAAGGTAGATAAGCACACTCATGAGGTCAAAGACTCTACATGGATCACGCGAAAAGTAAAAACATGTTTGTTTGGAGATGAGATAATATAATAGAAAGAAGGACAAGATGCCCTCTTTTGCATCTATTAAAATTAGTGAAGAAAAAGAATTAAAGAATTATGGATGAAATGACAAATTAGTTGTGGAAAGAAAAAAAAATATTGATGTGCAATATATGAATTAGGGTTGCATAAGGAAATAAGACAGAATATGAACAAACAATGAAAGGAGTCCAACCAGTGAGTCAATTTGAGTTAAATAGGAGGTAATTTTGATAATCAAAATTCAAAAAATAAATAAATGAATAGCAAGAGGTTATGGGCAGTGTTTTCAGAACTAGGTGGTCTGATCGGTCTGACCATCACTTGGGCATGAAGATGGCTTAGTTTAGCTCATTGAATTATTTGAAGAGTTGGCCATTTTTGAACTACTTTGGATCAAGCGGTTTTGAGCAACCTGAGTTAGACCAGAACCTGGAGTGAGTTGAAAGCAATTCTAATGGGTCATCTAAAATAATTTTCTGATTCCCAAAAACCATTCTTCAACACCATCTAAGACTCTTCTATGTACTTTCCTTTCTTCCCTCAAGCTTTGATTGATTGCTTCAACACTATCTCCACTCTCCACGTCTGTAACTTGCCACTCCTTCTATGTGACTACAACCTGTCATCTTGGGTTTTCATTATTCTGATCTTGATTTATAATCTCTTCTCTAATCTTCATCATCATCCTTCATCTGTGGGAACAAATACTAAAGCAAAGAAGGAAATATCAAGAGGCAAGGGCAAGAGATGAAACCAATAGAGGGGAGAAAATGAAGCCTTGGAAGTGAATAAAGTTAGAAAAAGGGTGGCTAGAGCGAGGGAAGAAAAGAAAGTCTCGACAGTTAAGGTGAAAATGATGGAAGAAGCGCATCTCATATGCTTTGGTGATAGAAATCTCAAAATTAATAAATTATTAATATCAATTAATTCTATTGAAAAATATTGTGGCAGTTATCAGCTTTGGGATTTCATTTTTTATAATAAATTAATTCATGGATTGAGTTGAGTTGAGTTAATTATGAGATTTGATTCATCTATCCTACATTTATGGCAAAAAATATTGATATTATGATTTGATTATTATTTTTAAAATAAAAATCACTATAAAAATTTAAAATATTAGCAAGCAGATTCTGCCTTAGGTATGTTGCCCAGGTTGTGCAGGAATCCACCAAACCGCTCACCCTCAAAATTTCGAGCCAATCCTTCACATGCCACATAACATCTACTCTTATCCATTCTTGTGTTGGAGCAGTTCATTTGTAGCCATGACCGTTTCTATCACCCGAATGTCGAAAGTTCAGAGCACCTGGAACCCTTTCTGTCATTCGGCTCCATCAAAAACCCTCTTTCTGTCTTTCACCATTCAAATTTGGCCAAGTCCTTTCTATCTTTTTTCTTCCAGCCAAAGGAAGACAGACCAGAACTTGGACGAAGCAAACACCGTCTGCTTAACCTTTTTCAATATTATTATTGCTAATACTAATTACCAATAATGATAAATAATTATTAAATTATTAATATTATTTATTTTAATATTAATAATTATTAGTATTAATTATTTTAATTTGCCTACTTCTTCATAATTTGCATTCATTTCGATCATCTGCCCAAATATACTCGATTAACTTGAGACTCTCTCTTCGCCACTGTTAATTGTCATTATATTTATTCCAATTAGATGACGCCGATTTTGGCATGTCGCCGGCGTTGGTAGTCCTCGTAGCTCCAGTGCATATCGACAATCCCACTTTTCGGGCCTCTTACCCAATCTCCTTCGAACTCGGTTTTCTCGAATCAGCCAATTCGAACGACATCAAAAGTTTCCATACCATATGGAACGCACCAATGCCATGGATGGAGCTCCTGGGATTTCAAAATCGAATGTCAAGAATTCGAATTTCACCTTCAACACTCCTTCAGCTTCATCTTCGCGCCCGGTTTCGGGCCTGTCTAGGCCGAGATTGATGAAGGTTCGAAAGCAGAATAATGCTCAGAGTTTGAGGTCGACGACAGGGATCGGGGAGAATCTGCTTGCTTCTGGTTTCAATCCTTTTGCTTCTGATGACGATAACTTGGTTCGACCCTTTTCTGGGTCGGGGATGGCTTCGTCGTCTATATTCAGTGAAATTGATGCTGTTCAGACTGGAAATGAGCCATTTGTCTTTGGAGCAAAGACGGTTGATTCGGGTTCGAATTTAAATAAGAACAACATGGGTTCTGGTTTGAATTTCGATCAAGGAATTGTTGATCAAATGAAAAATCTGAAAATGAGCAATGTGAATAGTGTTTCAAACTTTAAAGATGGGGGTTATAAGAAGGGCGAGTATTCATTTCAGAGCGGTCATAAGAAGAGTTCCAGTCATGATGGAAGCATGGCATCTACGCTTCCAGAAGATATGAGGAAGTTGAATATTGGTGTTGGTGGATTTGAAGACATTGACAAAGCCAAAAGCAGGTGTTTAAATTCATATACAGATAATTTGTCTAAATTCAAATTCCGAAGCATATCCAACCCAAGCGTTTCTTCCAGTGTTGAAATAGAACTCCAATGTGAGTTAAACAAGAAATTGAGTATTATAGATAGTTGTTCTGGTGGTCTACATATTGATAAGTCAACAAACGAAGTTCTCGACCGTATGAAGAATCTAAATGTAAAGGATTCTTCAGGTTTTGATAGTGTTAAGAAGAATGAAGTTGACGCAACGACTGGTGGCAAAAAAAAGTCTACGTCTGCAAGCAGTAAAACAACAACTAGTTATATTGGGGGAAGAAAAGAGGCCAGTCTGTTGAGAGAAATGGAGAAGTTAAAGTTGTTAAGTGAGAAGGGGGACTTCACTAGACCAAAATTTTGGAATCCTTCCTCTCAGGTACATGTGGGGGAAATTAATCAAACAGATGCAAGTGGTGGTCAGGTAGACAAACCCAAGGAAGGCAACAGAATGACACAAAATGCCACGTCGTCATCATCATTCTTATCTGGAGGCATTAATTTTCCCATGGTTGGAAATGATTCTGGAGTTACTAGGACAGATGAATTTGTCTTTACAGGGATCAAAGATAATTCAAACTCATCTTTTGTTGAGTTCAAAACACCTGCATTAAGGAACGAACAAAGTTGCTACACAAGAGTGAAGAAAAGGAGAGGTAAACTGAAGCTGTCTACCCCTGTCCAGCTGTTTCATGGACAAGATTTTGTTTCAAAGGAGAATGTTACCGAAGGAAACCCTGAGGCTTCTGAGGCTTATTCACCAATGGAAGTGTCTCCATATCAGGAAACGTTGGCTGAAACTCGGTGGTCAAGGGAGAACTCTGTGACGTCCAATGAGTCATCGAGTCTTGATACCAACTCCGTAGTGCAGACAACTGCTCATGATCCTATTGATGAAGATGTAATAATGAAAACAGAACTCTTTATTGCTGAATGTGATGCTGCATGCAATGAAACAAAGGAGAAAGCTTCAGAGTATCACATTCCTAAAAATATTTTCAATGAAGATCCACAAGATGGGTCCGCATCTGGGGTGGAAACTGAAAGCTTTAAGTCTGCAAATGATGACGTGGACATAATCAGTGATGCAGCTAACACATCAGTAGATGTTGCAAGCAGTCCAAGCTCAAGTGTTGAAGCCTGTGGTGGTGATAGTATTCCACATCTCAGTCGTGCTTCAAGTTCCAATGATATAACTGGGTTCCCCTTCACATTTTCTGCCTCTTACTCCTCTGAGGTTCAATCATCTAGCCCTAAGCGCCACCTCAAAAAGAAAAGTTGGGTAAAAGTTGGTTATGATGCTCACAGCTCCACTCCAAACTTGAAAATTTCCTATTCATCACCATCAAAGTCCTTTTCTTCTTGTTCCAAAACATCATCTCTTTTCACATCTGGGCAAGCTCAAAAAGACAAAGTATCAACTCCTCAACCTAAAACATGGGATTCTGAGATTAGTAAGGAGCAGGGGATGAAAGAGGAGCCTGCTTCTAATACTGCTGCAAGCATTGCTGCTCAGGAAGCTTGTGAAAAGTGGCGACTCAGGTTATTATGCACTTTGACAGTGTTTTTCTCTCTTTACATTTACACTAGTTTATGATGTGATAAGATTCATTATATTCACATCACATCTATGCTGAAGTAGCTTCTATTCAGGGGAAACCAAGCCTATAAAAATGGGGATCTATCTATGGCAGAGGATTGTTACACTAAAGGACTTCAATGTGTTTCTAAAGAAGCAACATCCAGGAGCTCCATGAGAGCTTTGATGCTTTGTTATAGCAATCGTGCTGCTACGCGCATGTCTCTTGGAAGGATGAGAGATGCACTAAAAGATTGTATACTGGCAGCTGAAATAGATCCAAATTTCCTCAGGGTACAACTTAGAGCTGCGAAGTAAGGTTTCCATTCTGCTTGCAATATCTGTACATGTTGATTAAGTTGTAGGAATGAGAAAGAATTTAAAGGGAGCGAGCATCTAGTTTATCCTAATGTACCATTCCATTTTCGATTGACCTTTGCTATTTAAGTTTTCCATTTTTAAGCTACCATTCTGCTCCCTCTTTTAAGGTATCTTCTAGAAGAGATAGATGGTCCTTATTATAAGTCACTTGATGAGGTATTAATTAACCTTTTCCAATGTTACCCCTATTTAGAGTCATTAACTATGAGAGAAAATGTAATGCAAATATGTGAATTTTCCATTTAAATGTGGGTAAAATCAAAAATTGGTTCTATTTTCAGATAAAATTAGCTACTTAACCACCTTTCCTTGATTCTAGTAAGGTGGTTAGAGGTGTCTTATAGTAGGAATCGGATTGGTAGAATAAATTTAAGTATTATCATTCCAAAAAATGTTCTTGTGTTTTTTCTTATGTGTGATTTTGAGGATCTTCTCATGTGATTGATTGCTGTTCATATGTGTCTCTCAACCATATCACCCTCGTAGGATTAGGTTATGTTGGATTATTTTACTCTAATTGTATATATGGAGTAAGAAATAGATAAAGAAAAAAAAAAAAGAATTTTATAGTTTTGATGATATGATATTCATAAAAATCAGAAGAACTGGAACAAGTTTAAACAGTGAGTTATGAAATTAGAATTTCACAAATTGGTACTCTGCTTTTTCTTCTAACAATGCTAATTATTGTTCCAAAAAATTGAACTGGAAGAAATAACCAGCTTGCTAGTTTTTATCAAAGAGGGTCCATTGACCCCTAATGTTGTTTATTTTGTTATGTAGTTAATCATTGACTATTTTGTAACAAAATTGATAACGTCAGTGGTTGATAGATCCTTTTACAGGATGCTGTAGAAATGTGTTCACATGTATTTTCACTGCAAAATTTGGACCTCACATAAAATTCACCACAAATTTGTTGGAAATTACTGAATAGCTTGTGACTGTGTTTTATCAGAAATTATTGTGTTCACTCACAATATTGATTAATAAAGGTTACAAAGTAATTGAAGTCAAGCTTAAACCATTACAGCAAAGAAAAGTGTGGGACTGTGCCTATGGCTATACCAATTCTAGTATTGTACCCTTGATTGTAGATAGCTGTAGCAGCAGAACCAATTTAATAAATAACTGCAGATATCTGAATCATTAATGATTGATAAACAAGAGTTTCTTTTCTTTGTCTCTTCTCTCTTTATAGTGTTGTAATGAATTAGGGCTTTCATGATCAAATGATTGGGAATAGGATCCTTGTCACCCCAATTATTTATTAAAAACTAAACTCTTGCACGGGGGGGGGGGGGGGGGGTTTGTTAGAGATGCTGCAACAACAAGCCTTATTCCATTAAATAAGGTTGGTTATATGGATTATATGATATTATTAGGCTCTATTAACAACTAACTTTTCAGATATACCATTCACCATGTGATCTCATTGTATAACTTCTTTAGGTGGTCCTCCTCTCTATCATTTCGTAGGCCTAAAAGCCATCCAATTAACTCCCTTCACCAATGCTTGTGAGGCCATTTGTTTTTTTTTTTTAGTACAAGGAGCAAGTTGAAACCAGCTTAAAAGCTAATGGGATTGAACCCACAAACTCTTGCATGTGGAGTGAACCTAATGCCACTAGCCCACAAGGCCGTTTAGCTTATAGTGGCCATTTTTGAATGTGTCCAAACCTCCTTAAGTATTTGGGGGTAACAACTAGTATAAGAACACCTGGCGGTGAAACAAAGAACTTTCCTATAACAATTGGACTACATCAGAGATCCTCTTTGATTCCATATTTGTTTGACTTGGTATTAGATGTTTTGACCGGGCATATTCAAGAGGAAATCCCCAAATGCATGTTTTTCACGGATGATATAGTTTTTATTGCAGAGACAAAAAAAGATTAATTGTAAACTTGAGTTATAGAGGAGGACATTGGAGTCAAAAGGTTTCCGCCTAAGTAGGATTAAGATAGAATATTTGTATAGCAATTTTGATAAGAGGTCAGTTAGTAGTAATTTGGAGGTGAAATTGGGAGATCAGATTGTACCTCAAGTAGAGAAGTTTAGATATTTGGGAGCTATTATTTAACATGATGGAAAAATTGATGGGGATATTGCACATAGGATACAAGTTATGGTTTAATTGGAAAAAAGCTAAAGGAGTTATTTGTGATCATAAGGTATCAAATAAATTTAAAGGAAAGTTTTATTGAACTGTTATAAGACCAGCTATGTTATATGGTAGTGAATGTTAGATTTTAACGAAACAACAAGAGTATAAAATTGGAGTAGTAGAGATGAAAATGTTGAGATGGATGTGCGGACATACACATAAAGATAAAATCTGAAATAGCACATACGAGAAAAAGTTGTAACATTTATTAAGGGGAAAATGGTAGAAGATTATTTAAGATGATTTGGATATGTACAAAAAGACCGCGGGAGGTACCAGTAAGGAGAGTGGAATGGATAACTTTGATTCCTGTTAAGAGGGGTAAAGGAAGGTTAAAGAGAAAACTTTTGAAAGTTGTTGACCGAGACCTCTTAATGAACAACATTTCTGGAAGTTTGGTAAATGATAGAGTATAGCAGCGTCATATAATTCATGTAGCTGATTCTACCTAGTGAGATAGGGCTTGTTGTTGTTGTTTCTCCTTGGTAGATGCCACTTTAACATTTTCTCATATTTTTGAATCTTGTCTTTTCTTGTATGACTGCATATCTATCTTAATGTTCTTATCTTTGCTACCCTTTATTTTTTGCTCTTGTCCCTTCAATACCTGACATTTATGATCATAAATAGTAAATTTTCATTGAAAATATTTATTTGGACTTCTTTTTTTTAATAGTTTTAACTTTTGGGATCAAGTAAGGGTTATCTGTTATTAATGGAAAAAAATTACAGCACAACATTAATCTTCCCAAAACTAAATAAATGAACCATAAATAGTGTAAATACTTGATCAGCTAGACGGAATTTGGCTTTCCTTGAAAATACCATGATTATGTTCCTCCAAGGCTATTGAAACTAGATATCCAAAGCCTCGATATATTGTCCACTCTTCTCTTTGTTTTATGATCATCACTAGATGTTCTATGATCTATCTCATCTGTCCTCCTTCTACGTTTGTGTATATAGAAATGCATGTGTGTGGCCTGACATGCTTCATTTATAGTTACCAAGAGAGATAATTATATCTGCTGACTTTTCTTTTTGTTATTATTTTTTATTTTTCTATATTGTTAAGTTGTTACCTTGCTTTGGGGAAAGTTGAAGATGCATTGCAATATTTCAAGAGGTGCTTGCAAACAGGAGCTGGTGTTTGTGTAGATCGAAAAATTGCTGTGGAAGCTTCTGATGGCTTACAAAAGGCACAGGTTCAACAACATTTTGTCATTTTGTATGGATAACTGAATGTATTATTTGTAGATTTAATTCATTGTCTTTTCTAAATGGTTTTGTTCTATTGGCTATTGGCTGTGCACATAATGCTTTAGCATTAGAAACTTGTTACATCCAACTGTCCTGATATCATATTATATAATCATATACTGTAAGATGGGAAATCATTTTCATGGCTTCAGATTTCAGAACATTCTATCATCATTGTTGTGAAAGCTAATGCTTTTGGCATTTATTTCAATGTGTTATTGGGGCATATTTGGGAGTTTGATACTTCAAATAAAATATTATTTTTTCCTCTCCTCGTATTCTAGAATTATGTTTCTGGGATAAGTTTTTGAAACTATCGGAAGTAGGTCTCATAATCTGAGAGTTAAAATATTGCCAAACTGGAGAGAGATGAGGAACATCCCTCGTCGTATTCTAGAATCATGTTTCTGGTATAAGTTTTTGAAACTATTGGAAGTAGGTCTCATAATCTGAGAGTGAAAATATTGCCACACTGGAGAGATGTGGCATGCATGCATGGGTCTGTGTGTGAAAGAGAGGGAGAGAGGGAGAGAATGTTTGATTCTATTATTTTGTACTCTTAACATTCTACTGTCTGATTTCTTGTCAGTTCCCCAATTATGGTGCCATGTCTTCTATGAGTTTCCTTTTCATATGCCACCTTGTTAACAATCCTGTGCAGAAATTCTGAGTCATCTGTTGAGCTATTTTGCTGTGTGGAAGTCACCCCTGCCATTTTTTGTTTTTCATTCCAGTATCTTACTATTTCATTTCTTTGATGTTTAATTTCATTTTGAAGAATTTCACTAAATGTTCATACTTTCTCGTTTGAGATGTATCTATGACTATAATTTGATTTATCAATCCCTGAATAATTATGCATTTTGGGATTTTCTCTTGTACATGCTTAGTTAAAACTTCTAAAACCAGGTCAAAAAATTAATGAAAGGACATAAGGGTGATTACTATAAAGAAGAAAAGGTAAAATTCCTATATTGGAATTCTAATGGACTAAGAAACAAAGAAAATAAGGAAAGAATCAAGTAATTATCATGCTAAGAGTTAATGAGATCACTGTTTATGATGAACCTAACTTCTAGCAACTGCTTATTTTCTAAAATGAAAGTGCTAAATTCTCAATTTCTTTGGTAATTTTTCATGAGATGTGAAGGTTTCCTTTGTTGTATTTTCTTGTGACTTTTTAAATTTGATGTTAAATAGAAACTCTTCATGAACTGATTAATTCTTTCAATGGATGACAGAAAGTATCAGAATTCATCAATCATTCTATTGAACTTTTGCAAAGAAGGACAACGTCTGACATGGATAGGGCATTGGAACAAATTAATGAGGCATTGATGATAAGTTCATACTCTGAAAAATTACTTGAAATGAAAGCAGAAGCTCTTTTCATGGTCTCTGCCACCTTCTCGTTATATGCTGGCATTTTGCTATGATGATGTCTTTGGACAGTTAGTTGTAGGTTGTTTGTGTAAGAATTTACTATAACACCAATTAAGTCTGTGTTGGATAACTGTTTCTTTAATGGCAGTTGTGTAAATTTGAAGAGGTGATTCAGTTGTGTGACCAAACCCTTGGTTCTGCTGAGAAGAATTTTTGTTCATTGGATGCTGATGGAGAAGTCATAAATTTGGATAACTCAAAACTCTCAAAATGCTTCTACTTCAGGCTATGGCGATGCTCAATGAAAATTAAATCCTACTGTCACCTTGGAAAGCTTGAAGAAGGTCTTTGTTCGCTAGAGGAACAAGAAAAAATGGTCTCTTCCATGAACAAGTAAGGATTACTAATATTTGATCATTTTCCCCATTTCTCTCTACCCCTTGAGGAGTTGGAAGAAATAGGATAAAGAAAAATGGATACGTTTGATGATGATAATAGTTTTATGGGGATGAGCTTTGATGCTGACCTTGCAGGAGTGGAAGCAATTTTTTTGACTCACTGATTCCCCTGGCTGCCATTGTACGTGAACTATTACATCACAAGGTTAGTTTGTGCCATTTTGTATGTGATTTTTCCCCTTAAAATCTTCTCTATGATTTTAATGCTTCATTTGAGTAGTTTGGCTGTTTTTTATAATGTGTCTATGGATGCTTATATGACATCCAAATTATAAGTTGTACCTGCTTCTGTTCAATTGATGTGTTTATTTTGCAAATTCAGTATTTGGTGTTCTGTTAAGTGTCCAGTTATCAATAATTAGGGAACTTTGATTGCTTCAGATATCAATACTTTAACATCTGTTCAATTGTTCCTTAGAACTGCAAGACGGTGTCAAGTAAAGAGTTGAACTTTTTACTTAATGTTTTGCTGCCTTTGATTTTGTAACTTCTAGAACTTCTTCAGTCATATCCAAAGCATTTCTATGCCATGCTCACCTATTTTCATACAGTAAATTTTGCTGTTGCATGAAAATTGCTTGTGTGAGGCTTGTCTCAAATTTGTTCAATTCCAGACTGCAGGGAATGAAGCATTTCAGGCAGGAAGGCATGCAGAAGCTGTTGAGCATTATACAGCAGCTTTGTTATCTAATGTGGAGTCCCGCCCATTTTCAGCTGTCTGCTTTTGTAATCGTGCTGCTGCTTATACAGCACTAGGTCAAATTACTGATGCTATTGCAGATTGCTGTCTAGCTATAGCTCTGGATGAAAATTATTTGAAGGTTCCCTCTTCAACTGGAAGTACAATTTGAGTTGTTAGAATTGATGTCAAATGGGAAAAACCTGTTTGATTATTAAGGAGACATAAGAATTAAACTTTTACAAGAAATTCCAGCATCCTTGTTAGGTCCTAAAGGCAGTATTTTTGAATGTCCACGTAAGACCAGCTTAGAGAATTGACAAGCATTAAAGAGTCCATATAATAAAGCTTCAACTACTGCAGCTGATTTCTTTTTGTTTTTTTTCCCCTCCTGTTTTGACTGTATGCTGGTTCAGCCTTCTTTAGTTTGCCAACAAACACCACAATCATATTTTAACATGGCTAACTACTAAAGAACTGAATGGACGTGAGAGGTTTGATAACTTGGTTATCAACAATTCCTTTGACCAATCACTCAATAACAACATTTTCCCCCTCTTATATAGGCTATAGGATGTTTCAGAAATTGTAATTTTTGTATTTTAAATGTTACTTCAGCCTTTACTGTTCTGTTATGTATGGTGTTCATTTCTGGCAGTTTCCAACTATGTTTTTATTGCATGCTAGTCTGATTATAAAAAATTCTATCTATTTCAGATTGATTAGACATGATATTTTTGGCTGACTGCTTTCTTACCATTGCAGGCACTTTCTAGGCGTGCAACTCTGTATGAGATGATCAGAGATTACGCCCAAGCAGCTAGTGATATTCGGAGGCTTGTCTCTATTCTCAATAAGCGGGTGGATGATAAGGCCAATCAGCATGGAATATCTGATAGATCTTATAATTATGCTAATGACTTGAAACAGAATTCTATTCGGCTTTCTGAAATGGAGGAGGAAGCCAGAAAGGAGATCGCTCTTGACATGTACCTCATATTGTAAGCTCTTTTATTACTTATTCTTTATTATAAATTTATTTAAAGCAGGATAACCACATATTTTAGCAGTCAGAATCGAATTTCCTAAAGGGAGCATTGCTTATAGTTTTCTCAATATTCCTTGTTTCAAAGAACTGCAAAGGTTGAATATGTGATCAACAGTCTTGCATAGATTGAATAGATTTGTGGTTCATGCAAAGCTTGCATTTATTATCTCAATCTCTGAAATTCCTTGAAAAATATGTACAAAATTCAATAAATACCAGTATTCAGTGAAGGGGATTTGGAAAATTTGATGTGGTTATGCTATTTGTGAGCTTTTCAGTAAAATGACAAAAGCTTGAGATGATGTAATACAAAATGGCCTGGCAAATAGACATTGGCATGAACCTACAAGGATTAGATCCTTGAACTTGCAGCCAATTAGAATATGCGCACCCCAAGAAAGCAAAACAAAGGGCTTCTTGATCCATTTGAATCCTTGAACTTGACAAAGACTCCGAAGTGTTGGAAGATGCCACAAGGTTGATCAAGCCTTGACAAGTGAGTTCAATGAAAAGCCTTAGAGAGAATCCACTCTCAAGTTTGGAAATCCCAAAACATAATTCTCATTCATCCATTAAATCTGATTACAAATGGAGGCAGAATACATTTTTATAGCTTATAAATCAAATCTGTCTTTGATTACCCTGGGAAAGGAAAACTGGGGAAAATCAAAGCATAATCCTAATTCAATGTCTTAAGAATCAGCAATACAATTTGTCAAATTGTCAAATCTGTCTCTAGCTTTCTCCAAATATATTCAACAACTTTAAATCAGCATGTGCAGCCTACAATAGCATCAGTTAGGCTCAAATGAGTAATTCCATGTATGATCCTTTGGTCCAAGCTCTAGCCCAAAATACCTTTGACAGATCCATCTTTTGCCCAAATAAATCAATGATGTTCTAATCATTATTGGCTAGATTTGTTGGCCCATTTGCGATCTGTTTTGCTCAAATTTCTTGAATGAGTGAATGCTTCTTCAAGTATTTTAGCTTTTGCTCTTATGACTTGGAAGGTGTCAAGGATCACTTGAAGCATTTGACTCAACTTGCTTGTGTCACGTCAGTGATGATCCTGGTTTCATTGTTTGAACTTGCATGGGGATCATGCAATCCTATGTTTTTTTGTTCTTGTTACTTATTAGAGTGTAATGCTCAATGTATTACTGTCGCTTATGAGGCTATGAAGGAATGACCTAGACCTGTGAGAATCAAATCCCTTTGAGGCCTTGTGGCGTAATATGAAAAATTCTTGTGCCATTGTAGATGAGTGAGTAAACCACTTATGATTTTTATTAAGGAAGGGGGCTTTCAATAGAATAAGGAGGCAACCAATGCCTTTCAGCTATTGAAGACAGCTATGAGTAACACTTTGGCCCAAGCTTTTCCAAATTATTGGGCTCAATTTTAATTTTAAGTTGAAATTGATGCTTCTAAACTAGGTGTGGGAGTTGTTCTATCCCAGCAAGGACACTGGACACCCAATTTCGTTTGTCAGCAAGAGTCTTTGATAGGTTCCAAGATGATTAAAGAGAAATAGGGAAGATAAATCCCTATTAACATATGAAATCAGAATCTAACTTCATAATATTAATAAGAGAATATAGAACTAATAGAAGAAAATAGAAGAAATAAATTTATCAAGATGATATAGAATAAAAATCTCGTCCTATACTTCTCTCAATAGTCACACTTAAGAGAATCTCCAAAGAGCCAAAAGTCTCAAAAGTCTATTTTATTCATGATATGCTTGCTTTTAAGTTGCTAAGCATATTTATAATGTTAAATACAATTTAAAATAATTAATAAATCTAGATAACTAGATAATTAAATAAAATTGAATAAATCTCCTAGAATCTATATCTATATAAAATACTAAATAAAATCTAAAGAAATAAATATCTGAATAAAATCTAAATAACTAAATATCTGGATAAATATATAGATATTTAAATAAATATTTATATAAAATCTAGATAACTAAATACCTAAATAAAATCTAAAGAATATTATTAAATAGAAAATATCTAAAATAAATTAAAAATAATATTTATTCATAATATCTATCTTCCCAGATCACCCATTATTTCGGAAATCTATCAGCCTTTCGCCTAAGGAGAAGGCACTATCTAAATAGAAAAGGGATTTCACAACCATTTTGTTTCTAGTTAAAGCATTGGTACCTGTTCATCTATGTTACTGATCATTTACTCTTGATACACCTCTTGAATCCAAAAGTTGTCACCTCAGAGCATTTTAATTACTGGCAGATTCTATGGCCTGGTATATGATGGCATATGACATTGTTGAATTGGAGGGCATGGAGAAAGGCATTAGGGGATTTGCCCAGGTGTGCCAAACATGCCAGAGGTACAAGTTTGAAATATTGGAAAATCCAGATACTAGGATCGGTATTAGTAGACAAATTCACAAAGGCAGCCCTTGTATTGGTTTAAATCATCTACTTACGGCAATTGAAGCACAGGCTCTCATGGACAGCATTATTAAATTTCATGGGTTTCCTCAGTCCATTGTGACAGACAGATGAGACAGGGCATGGAAAGGATGATAAATCTGGAGTGAGAGAACTCTGGTATTTCTGGCTAGAGTTGGGTGTGACCTAGTGCTCTGGAATAGTTTTTCCTAATTTGATTAAATGAGTTTGTTATAAGATGGATAACAAAACTGTGGCAATGCGCAGTTTATGAAATTTGTGGTTAGTATTGTTGGAGAGGAATGTGTGTATCTTCAAGGGTAGATTTTCTTTTATTGTGCTATGGGATAGATAGCTGACTTCTCCAACCCATAGTTTTTTGTAGGGAACTTCTGTTTCTATTACTGTTCTCATTTTGAGCCTTTTCTAGTGTTTTCTTACTTGAGATTTTCTCATACTCTAGCTGGATGTATAGTATTCTGTTTCTAATAAAATTCATTCAATAAAAAATTAGCCTCAAGTGTCATTTTTAACATTAATGACATATATAACCTGAACATAAAATTCCCTTAGATAAATAAACACTTGGTATCTGATGGGTACCTAAGTAGAATAGGAAATTCTACCATAAAAGCTAGCAGCTAAAGTGGGAGAACCAACCCACTTAAATGCTCTATTGAGCATCTCATATTATTCAATGTGTGACTTGGTATCCCATATTATTAAGTCTCCATCAATTGGCACTCCATGCTCCATAGCACCTAAGTCGGTCCCTTACTAGTCAGAATTCTCCATGGGCAACCCTCTTTGAAATTGTGGACTACTTAGCTTTGATACAAATTGATGGGTACCTAAGTGGGACAGGAAACCCTACCTCAAGAGTTAGCTGTTGAGGTGAGAGAATCAGCCCACTTGAATATCCCATTGAGCATCTCATGCTACTCAATGTGGGACTTGGTATCCCATAATATCAAGTCTCTATCAATATCTAAGTTCTCAATTAGAACACAACCCAAGTGAATCCTAGTTAGAGAGACTTCTTTTTCTCACAGTTTTAGTTTATGTCGGGGTTGTTGGTGGTTATGAGTATTCAGTTTGTTTTGTGGAGTCTGATAATGGTGGTTATGAGTATTCATTTGCATGCTCTAATGCATGCGTAAATGTCAAACAGCATTCATTGCGTTTGATGCTGTTTTGTGTTTGTCATCCGTAGTGTCTGTAGCTGTGTTTCTAGTGTGACAAAAGCTTTTTTGCTATTGGAGCAGCCTACTGTTGCTTAGAACAGCATTAGTTGCGTTTGATGCTGTTTTGTGTTTGTCATCAGTAGTTTCTGTAGCTGTGTTTCTAGTGTGACAAAAGCTTCTTTGCTATTAGAGCAACCTACTGTTGCTTAGAACGGTCAGTAATAATATCAATAATTCGAAGCCATTTGCTGATTCAGATTATGATGGCAGGGGAGTTGAACCATCTGTTTCTACATCTGAAATCAAGAAGGCCTATCGAAAAGCTGCACTTAGGCATCATCCTGACAAGGTTTTTTACTCAGCAGTTGCTTGATGTTCTTACGTTTGTATCATATTAACAGATTTTGTAATACCATAGGCTGGCCAATCTTTGGCACGGAGTGACAATGGTGATGATCAGATGTGGAAGGATATTGCTGAAGAAGTACGTCGAGATGCTGATAGGCTTTTCAAAATTATTGGAGAGGCCTATGCAGTATTGTCGGACCCTGCCAAGGTATTTTGCTTGTGTTTAGATAACTAGCAGTAGTGCGGGCTTAATTACTTGAAAAATTGATCTGTACAGCATGCTTCATGCTCTTAAAAATGTTCTTTTTTTCGTTTCCAACGCCACCTAGTCAGATAGGCTTGTTGTTGTTTCATTTGTTCTTTACTCCTCTTTTGCAGCGTGCACAATATGATGCTGAAGAAGAAATGAGAAATGCTCGAAAGAAGCGCCATGGTGGTATCATGGCTAGAACTAATGTTGACACCCAATCTTATCCATTTGAGCAAAGCAACATTAGGAGACACTGGAGAGATTTGCGGAGATCGTATGGCGGTTCTTCTTCCAGAGGTTTTGAAACTGGTCAGTCAGGCAGGTACTAAAACTAAGTGGGAAACATCAATCAATGGCAAGAATCTGGATTGAAACTCTTGGAATGTGACCAATTTATATGATTCACCAGCTGCTTTTTACCCGCCAAACATAAGCATCTATATGCACTTAGCAAGATCAGTTATGCCTTAGTTCAGCTGCTCATTGACTTCATCAGGTTCACTCATAGGATTTGAGATCGCTGGCATGACCATTCAAAATCTTGCTTGGTGAATAATTGTGATTGCCTTGGAGGCAATAGTCTCCCCCCCCCCCCCCCTTCCCCCCGGGCCAAAAAAAAAAAATAATAATTCAATTGGCAACGGAAAGAAAGCACAACATGCTTGCATTCCGTGATCGTTGCGTTCCTTTCGTGGCTTACCTTCTACATGAGGAAGGGTTTGGTGATTGAAAAATTATGAGCTTGGTTTTCATTTTTACTTGTTTTAGAGCAAAATGAGCTTGGTTTTATTTAAAAGCTTGAAATTTTGCAATGAGACCAACTGAGGTGATCTCATTTTTTGAGACATGTAAATGTTCCGTAGTTACTTGTCAGAAAGTTGATATTCAAATATGTAACCAGTTTTGCCTGTAACCTTACAATGTATGCAAAGGGGGAGTTCGATTTCTCCCTGGTTTATTCAATGAAGTCGTTTTTATTTTTTTAATGCACTTGCAATACACAAACACACAATTTAGCATAATGTCCACTTTTTTATTAAAGATATATAGAAAAAAAATATAATTTTCATAATTTTTTGCTTACATTGTAGGGATTGTGAGGATAATTATTACTCAATATTCAATATGGATTGCATATATTAAGTCGAAGGACTCATTTTTTAAATTTCCTATTAGCTTAAATTAGCTTAAATTTCATAATATGAATCAATATTCAATAAATGTCTCGAAATTAGCTTAAATTGTAATAAGGTTGATACGACTTTTAATTATACGATCCTCTCCAAAGTTTGCAGTTTGCTATGATGTAAACTTGATGTATTAAAATTGGAATAGTAAAATTTTTAATCTTTCAAGTTTGATTCAGTTATTGATTTGATTTTTAAGTTTTGAAATACAAATTAACCCTTAAATTAATCAAATGTACAGAGTATGTATATGACTTGATATTCATGTGGTTAAATAAAATAATTTGGCCCAAAAATCAATTTATTTATTTTATCAATTTAATCCTTTTATGTTGCATTTTGTTCACTTATTTTTAAGAAAATTGAGTTTATTTTTTTTCTTTCTTAAATAATTAACTCATTTTTATTAATTCATATGGTTTCGCCTATTAGCTTGTTCAAATGTGAGGATCAGCTTTGAAATTTCAAATGGCAAAAGTAGACTCATGTAACTCTTTTTTTGTTTTTTGTTTTTATTATAACTCATTTTAACTCATTAATCAAACGTGCAATCCCTTAAACTATTTAATCCCTTTTCTTGGGCTAAGCAAGCCCTCTCTGTACCCAAGAAAAAAAAAAAAAACAAAGCATGTGTCCCATCGAGGATCAAACATTATTATCATTGAGGATGATGAGTAAAGCGTTATCTTTTGATTTGTGAATTGCATGTATGAGTATAGATGAAGATTCAAACATATGTAATATTTCAATTCATATTTTTTGGACCTGGAAATTTCAATTTATATGGCATGTTTGTTGGATAGGGAGACGCAGTGAAAGATTAAAATTTTAAAGTCTCTGTCCTGATATGGATCGAATGAACTCATTTAAGTCAAGGTAGATAGAAGAGTTATCTTTTTAATTCTTTGAAGTTGGCACACATTTGGATCTCAGGAGCTGACAACATAAATCTGCTCCCTCTATCGATATCCACACGAATAGCTCTCTAACTCGAATAGCGTGTTAGCGCACTCAGCGTCTGTTCTTCTTTGAACGTTAATTTTTCTTTCTATAGGGTGTTTCGTGGCTCTCAGAGTGTTTTTGCCGTCAGAACTTTTCTAACTCTCTCTCTCTCTCTCTTTATAAGGATGTCCCTATCTATATATATTATATAGATAAGGGTTTTCATCTTCTACTTAAAAGTTCACAAAAATTTAATTAAATTTATTTCATAAATTTAATTCATAATATCATATTTAATTTAAATTTATCTTATAAATTTAAATTATAAAACTGATATGATATAAATTTATCTTATAAATTTAAATTATAAAATTGATATGATATTTTCTCTTATCATGTTAGTTATTAAATTTAATCTATCATATAAAATTAAATTTAAAACTAACATAAGATAATATAATATAATATAATATATATCGCATATACATATTATATTTTATATATATATGAATATATATATATATATATAAAAATTTCATTCACCCTATATTACATTCATTGAATCTAGATATATTCTAAATTCAATGAACTTGGACATTATAGCTCGAGTTGAGCCGTTCTTGTGTGCGACCCTGTAGGCCCATATGAAATTGGCAGTAGGCTAATTACGCTATTAGCCCACAAGTTACAAGTGGCCTCTAGTAAGACATTGTAACTACCCAATTCACATAGGGATCGATGATCCAATGTAACCTATCATGCAACCATATCACATCCTTTTTGTCACGTGATATTTCGGTCAAGTATAAGACATGGCATTGTCATTCTCCTTTACCTGACCATTACTTTCTTGATCTTTGAGTAGACTGATAGTAGCAATGGAAAAACCTTTTCCATTGTAGTATGGCTATACATTTTCTCAGTCTTACTCATCGAGGGGCCCAGTAATATCTCTCACTTAATGTGAGGGACAAATTCCATCTTGACTACTCATATTCCTCTGCATGAATATCACTAAACTCAATCATAGCGTTTATGATCACCCGGTCAAAGGTGACTTTTGACTAGGTCAATGTTCAGTGGTCATCATGTAGGAATCCATGATGATTTCAGGTCAAAGAGCTTAGTGATATAGTTACATATGAGATAAGCTTATGACTTGTACCATACAACTTTTTCATAGCAGGTCAGTCTAGCACCTCGTACCCTTTCAAGTGCTTATGACTTTAATTTGTATCTATCATTAATCAAAGTCATAGTAATCTTGTTTCATCTATGATCCCTCAAAGATGACCGACTAGGAACATTTAGGACAATCACTATAGTTTATCCAGGGATATAGTTATCATATTGAACATGTAATTGTTATGATAACAAAAGAGAAATTTATTAAATAACGATGTGCATAGTATAATGATTGGCCTTAGGGTATAATTTCCAATATCGTCCCACTTGCACTAAGTACAATCATTAATTTGTCTAATTCCCATAGTCCTGACACGATGCTCATGCTTCACCTGTGCAAGAGGCTTTGTAAAAGGATCAGTAACACTGTCTTCTCCTGCTACTTTGCATACTTTTATGTCACCTCTATCATTGATCTCTCTAATAAGGTAGAAACGCCTGAGTATATGCTTGATCTTTTGGTGTGACCTTAGCTCCTTGCTCTGTGCAATTGCACCACTATTGTCACAGAACAAGTTTATTGGATCTGAGATGCTAGGCACCACTCCTAGTTCAACAATGAACTTCCTGATCCAAATGGCTTCCTTAGCTGCATCTGATGCTGCTATATACTTAGATTCTATTGCAAAATTAGTTGTTGTGCTCTGTTTTGAGCTCTTCCAGCTCACTCCCCACTATTTAAGGTGAACACATATCCTGATTGTGATTTAAGGTCATTCTGGTCAGTTTGGAAGCTTGCATCTGTGTAACCTGTTACAACTGGCTCGTCATCCAATCCGCTATATACCAAGAATAAATCCTTAGTCCTTTTTAAGTACTTTAGGATATTCTTAACAGTAGTCCAATGATCCTCTCCTGGATCTTCTTAGTATCTGCTGGTCATACTTAAGGCAAATGAAACATCCAATCAAGTGCACGCGCAGCATGGCATACATGATAGATCCAATTGTTAAGGCATGTGGAACCTTACTTATGCAATCTCACTGATTTTGTGTACTAGGACATTAGCCTTTGCTGAGATAAATGCCATGAGACATGAGGATGAAACTCCTCTTTAAATCCTGCATACTAAACCTATGTAGTATCTTGTTTATGTTTGTGCTCTGACTTAGGCCTATCAGTTTTTTGGATCTATCTCTATAGATCTTAATCCCAAGGATGTAAGTGGCTTCACCTAAGTCCTTCATAGAGAAAGATTTTCCTAATCAAGACTTGACATTTTGCAAGGTAGGAATGTCATTCCTAATGAGTAGGATATCATCTACATATAGCACTAGAAATATAACTGTGCTGCTATTAACCTTTTTACAAATACAAGGTTCATTAATGTTTTGAATGAATCCAAACTATTTGATTACTTCATCAAAACATTTATTCCAACTCCGAGATGCTTGATTCAATCTATAAATGGATCTATGAAGCTTGCACACCTTTCTAGAGTCCTCTGGACACACAAAATCTTTAGGTTGTGTCATGTACACTTCCTCAAGTAGACGTCCATTAAGGAATGTTGTTTTAACATTCATCTACCATATTTCATAGTCATAATGTGCTGCAATGGCAAAGAGGATTCTGATTGATTTGGCCATTATGACTAGTAAAAAGGTTTTATCATAGTCTACACCATGAGTTTGGGTGAATCCTTTTGCAACCATTCGTGCCTTAAAGACATTTACTTTTCCATCCATATTAGTTTTTTTCTTAAAAACCCACTTGCACCTAATGGTTTTTATTCCTTCAAGTGGATCAATTAAGGTCCATACCTTGTTATCATATATAGATTGCATTTTAGACTTCATGGCATTTAGCTATTTCTCAAAATTTGGTCCCACTATGGCTTCTTGGTAGGTGGTTAGTTCATTGTGTTCAATGAGCAACACATCACGACATTCATTAATCAGAAATCTATATCTCTGAGGATGATGCCGTATTTTATTAGACATTCATGGGCCTTGTGTTATTTGAGTAGGCTCATTTACTTCTTATGAGTCTTCTCGATTTTCTATCTGTGACTGTGCTATTTTATGGTTCTTGAATTTCTTCAAGATGTATCTTGCTCTCACAGGTTCTTTTAGAGATAAATTTTTTGTAGAAAGATACCATTTCAAATTACAAATACTTTGTTATCGGTGGGATTATAGACATAATATCCCTTTGTTTCTTTAGGATACCCCACAAAAAGGCACTTTGTGAATTTAGGTGCTAACTTGTCTGAGGCTTGTTTTTTAACATAAACCTCACTTCTCCAAATCTTGAGAAAAGACAAACTAGGTTTCTTCCCAGTCCATATCTCATATGGTGTCTTCTCAATTGCCTTAGATAGAACACAGTTCAGTGTAAATGTAGCTATTTCTAGTGCATGGCCCCAAAATGATGGTAGAAGATCTACTTGACTTATCATAGATTGAACCATATCTAATAGTGTTTGATTTCTCTGCTCAAAAACACCATTCCATTGTGGTATTGTTGGAGGAGTTAATTGTGAGATTATCCCACAACTCCTGAGATGATCAATGAATTCTTGGCTTAAATATTCACCTCCTTGATCAGATTGAAGAGTTTTAATAGTCTTTTCAAGTTGATTTTGTACTTCATTTTGGATTACTTTGAACATTTTAAAAGATTCAGATTTGTGTTTCATTAGGTAGGTGTATCCATATCTACTGTAGTCA